TTTTTATTGCATATACACACAATCTGACCCACTCACCCCACAGATTCGTTCAGTTAAAGATTCGTCTGTAGTGTTTATTTATAAAGGTCAGAGCCAAACTTAAAGGATTAAAGAAGGAAAAAGAGACAGAGACAAAGGCAGAGATATAATTGCTCTTCAGCAGACTCATTAGACAAAGCACCTGAATCCCCTGACTGAATTGATCTTTCAATCATGTTCTGCATATTAATCATTAAGGTTTTTCATGTGCACAGTCACTCATGGCTCATTAGCAGCAGATATAGCTTTGGTGTTTTAAAGTCTGGATTTTCACAGGTAGAACTCCAGTGCACAAATTGAATAACTGTTAATATTTGTTAATTAAAAGTTTCCGAAAGAAAAGTTTGCCATCATCATTCGCATCCAGTCAGAAAGCAATGAAATGAGCCGTGAAGCTGTGATCTGCCGAACAAAGGTTTATTTTCCAAAATTAAAACTAATTGCAGCTGTGAGTATAAAAAGGAAAGAACACACATAGACCAACACCCTGTAAAAAAGGAAAGAATGAGTTAAAGATTGTATCAGGAATTACTTATTTTCATGCAAAACTAAGTCCAGGTTCAATTTGAGGACAACTTTATAAGACGTGCTGCAAGAAAGTGATAGGACATCATAATCTATTTGTTTGCCAAGTCAAGTGTGAAATCATCACAGTCACAGATGGATATGGATGAATAAAAAATGGATAAAAGTCAGGATGATAAGCAGGGCATCTCAATTTCAGCTGTATCTATACTCAAATTTGTGTAATATATTGCTATATTTATATATTAGAGAGATTTGTAATGTATTGTGTCAGTGCTTTGAGTGTTTAAACAGCGTAGAAAAGTACCATTAAAGTACCAGTCTATTTACCATACTTAAAAAAAACTGATTTTAAAAACATCTCCAAACCAAGTGTGTAGAGTTTTAGCAAAATTTGTTTCATTTTGGACCATATAATAATGGAGATTTGATTAGGAGACCTTGCGGCCCTACTTTTACAATTTTATTTATTAAGGGAAAAAAGTGATCCAACTCTACCCGGCCCCGTGCCTGCTTGGAGCAGGTGCATGATGTATTTACTTCATTAGATTATCATATATTCGTCTTGCAAGCACAGAGTGGCAGAAATAAATGCCGTCTTTAAAAGGGAGGGGAGCTTTTGGGGAGCTGTAGCAGGTCACGCTCAGCGATCGTCTATAATGTTGTATGTTTGTGCAATATGAAGCAGGTGCTATATTATATAAAACTCTATTCAATAGGTTGTTGATTTTAATAAATAAAATTAGTTTGAAGTAATGTTTTTTTTGTGTGTCAAAAAAAGATTAATACATGTTAGCCAGATTTCGACCTGAATCTGTGCGCACTCTGTGGCAGGAAGATAAGACCCAGATACAGGATTCAAACTCACAAGATAAAACTTAAAAGCAGCTTTATTGCTGAACTAAGTCAGAGAAAATACATAATACAGAACAACTCAGGCCAGGCAGAAACTAGGAACTTACAACGAGGCACTAACAAGAGACCGTGGAACAAACATGAGATACACAGATTGATGAGGAACATGACGAAAGATAAA